TACACAAAAAATAAATACAAAATGATATTTTCCGAGTTCACGAACCTTGAAGAATAAGGAAGTCACAGGGTAAAAGCCAGTTGCTTTTCACTCTGACCATATCTCCAGGGACAAGAAGAGAAGCATCCACGGTAGTCCAGGACCCGCCCCGAAGTACCTCAGCGTCCGTTTTTATTTTCGTGATCTGTAAACATCAGGACTGTTACTTTTGATGGCAGAACGAAAAGAAAGTAGCCTTCTCAGATAAACCTCAGCAATCGTGTACTGGCTTCGCCTTCGTGTATAGATGGTGATCGAGGAGCTTAGCAGCACAATGCAGGTCATAAGTGCTGCAACGAAGAGATAGCTGTTCCAGTACTGCAATATGTACATGATGAGCTGGTAGACGTGGAAAAAAGTGAAGAGCTCGTCGCAGATACTCTGAAATAATGGCTCCGGTTCGAACGGGATTTTGTTCAAACCAACATGCTCTAAACGATTGCTGGAATCCTCGGCACTAAGCCCAGTTGGAGACTGAAAGTGATATGATTTTAGCGAATGTACTTTTATTGAGTAGTAAGACGTACCTGATGAAAATCTGAGAGCAGTGCTCCTACTTGGATGCGCGCATGGGAGATTTGCGAACCATCCACGAGAACACGAAGCCCTTCAAAGAGAAAATAACGTTTCCCTGAGGCAGTCTCAAGGATATCGACAATCTCAAAATGGCCCTGAGCATCTGGAGGCATAATTATATTCTGAAAAACAAAAAAAAAAAACCAGAGCTGTTTGTGTTTGTAACATATGTGAAGCTTGTGGTCCGAACCTTGAAGCGACGAATGATGTAGACAAGAGCAAACGCATTCGCTGAGAGGATTTCTTCCCGGTCTCTGGCCCAAACAAAAGCGACAGTCGCTTGAGACAACGGACATGGAAGACGAAACCAGTTGTGTACCCTCCCTTTAAACAGCACCCAGGTGGTGTACCACACAACCGATAGCCACCAGACAGTGAAGAAGACCTGGACGAGAGCAAGGGCATAGATGTGATCCTACTCCAAAGCCAAGAGCAGCAAAAGCAAAACTGCTCACCTTGGCATTCAGCTCGTAGGTTCCAAAAATGAAATAGTTGCCAAAGAAGCAGAGATTGTCAATTCCACCAATGTCGCACTTGTTGTACGTGTCGAACAAAATGACGACATACAGTGCCAGCCAGTGCAACGACGTCAGGCAGCACACGCAGTAGCAAAACTCGCCAAAGTAGGACCAAGTGTAGCCCGTCACAAGCAGCTCTTTTGCTTCCTCCGGCTCCAGCAGGAACTCCTGGCCTTGAAACCTTGAGGCACCTTCGCTGCCTGTGGCAGGCCTGGAAGACTTTGGAGCTTCTTCCCGTAGAAACACGGGCTTGACTGGGTTCTTTCGGATCAGCCAGAGCTTCAAGATCTGGAAAGAACAGCAGACGAGCAAGACAAATCCCCAGTAGCAAAACACCGTCACAACGGCAGGATGCGTGACCTTCGTGATGAGCACATCACACGAAGGATCACTCACACAGCTCTTTGGACCCGATGGATATCGTCCCATTTTTCACGACAGACAACAACAACAACACCAGGAAGACTTGTGACCCTCGCTGGAGCTCCTCAAAGACTTGGCATCAAATATATAGGGAAATCCATTCAACGGCATCAGTCGCTGGAACAAAGCATAAAGAGGGGCGAGACCAAGCCACAGAAAAGGAAACTCCTGATACTCGAATTCACTGTTCCAGATGCTCCACACAGGCAAATTCAATCACGCCCTTGATGCTGGTCACGGCATATTTTCCCCACACACAGGAGACACTCCCATCATCACCCAGCCACAATCCAAAAGCAGCACAGCAATGAAATGCGAACTGCTAGATTCGCGATTCCCGATTCACTCGTAAAGCGCAGAAAATCCAAATGCCAGTACCTGGAGCAGCACCGGCCCGCTAGCCCGGACGAGACGCGCGCCGCGAAGAACCCTATATTTCGCTCTCCCCACAGCGCGGTGGAAGACTAACTAGACCACGAGAGGGGGAGAATCTCTCATATAAAGTTATTAGAGCTTTGGTTGACGACTTTTGGCGTTTGTGCTGGCCTTCTTTGATAGCTACATCTAACATAGCGTTGTTCTTCTCATAATTGGCGATACCCACGATCACTGAAGGCGCACTTTAACATTTTCTCCTTGTCCGTTGAAAATTTTTCCCTCAATTATTTCATGGTTTGACAAGAAAGGAATGCGAAACGGGGTTCCAAAACTTTACGGATTAGAAAGATTTTGTATGTCTTTTACTTTTTCCTTTCTTCTTTTTTTAAAATAATGCGGAAAAAGTATCTTTTCGTTTTTTGCCTTTGGCCAAGTAACATTATAGTGTACAAACATTCTGCTTTTGAAAAGCAAAAAATAAAAAACCGACAAAACAAAAGGCTTGGAGATGCCGGGTATCGATCCCGGTGCCTCTCGCATGCTAAGCGAGCGCTCTACCATCTGAGCTACATCCCCATTTGATTTTCTTCGTATAATGGACCTAATACGCATGTCCAAATGCAGTGTCGGTCGCAATAATTAAGTAAAAAAACCTTACCAGTGACCACCCAAACGTGGGGGCGGGCAACCAACACAGTGAATGCGGCCCAGTAGTTACGCCGATCGATCGGTAACTCTTTTTGTAACTCAAAGTAGCTTCCTTGGCAGACGTCATCCATCCAAGCCTCGAATTTTATCGAAGCCCGGATAATCTTTCTTTTCTTCTGGAATATGCCGCGGAATGGTCAGGTGGACAGATGGATGGTGCCGATGGCGCTCCCATTCCGCTACAGAATGGCGACCTTTTCTCTTGAAGCGGCTTCTTCCTCTTGTTCCAGTTCTTTCTTTCCAGCGCGGGGGTGAGTTGTCCGCAACGCCCCCCAAGATTGCCGTAATATCGATCGATCTCGCCCTATTTCCGCGGGCGCCGATCGATCCGTGCTCGCGGCCTCCTCTTGCCATGGCGGAATCCCTGGCAGGAGCGCTAGGCGCCGGTATCGATTAGGTCGCGGCAAAGATGAGGGATTGGAACGGCGTGCCGATTGCCGCGGGGGGAGGAGCATCGGATTTGCGGCAGCAGCAGCAGCAGTATGTTCTTCCTCACGAACTCCAGCAGATGCTCGCCGCAAGAAATCTGGCAGCGGTCTCCTCCAGCGCCAGCGGCGTGGGTCATTTCTTGGGAATCTCCCGGGAGCCGATGTCGCCGCCACCGCCAGTGCAAGCTCCTCCACAGCCGCAGCACCAGCAGCAGCATTTCGTGAGGGATCATCACGCGCATCTCCAGTATCTGGCTCACAATCTCCATGCCAATCCTCCTCCTCACGACCCGCCGGCGTCTTCTTCTTTCAAGCATCTCTTGTCTTCTTGCTCCGTGGCTATGGCGAGAATTCCTAGCGATCTCGGACAGCAGCACGATCACCCCCAACGCCGGCAAGAAAGCGATCGGGGGGATCATCGTGAGGATGGCAGCGGCGAGTGGCCCAGCGACGAGGCAAGGGCCTTGATCAAGATTCGCGGGGACATGGAGTCGAGTTTCCAGAGGGGCACCCATCCCCATCTCTGGGAAGAGATCTCGAGGTATGTGGATAGCTTGCATTCATGGTTTTAGCCCTAAGATTTCGCTTGGAGCGAGCTCCTGGATTTGTGGAAGCGTTTTAGGTTTCTGGAAGGGGTGCGTGTGGTGATACACGTGAGAGGCCATCCTTTAGAGAAGTTTGTTTGTTCCTCTTTTTGGAGTTTTGCCCCTTTTTATCCGCTTGCATGAACAAACATTCTTTCCTTTCTCCTTCTGTGGATTTTCTTTTCGTTTTTAAGTTTTCTATATCACCAGCATTGATTTGGTTTCTTCGTGAATGAACTTCTGTGCAATGACTCGTGAATTTGCTTGTGCTACTAAACACTTCTCTATATCACCCTCATTGGTCGCCCTTAAGCTTTCCTTTATCACTGGTAGTGACCTTTACTTTCTCCAGGAAACTTGGAGCCATGGGTTACATGCGGAGCGGGAAAAACTGCAAGGAGAAGTTCGAAGGCATTGTCAGCTATTTCAGAAAGACAAAAGAAGGGAACGGAGGTGAAGACACAGGCTACCGCTTCTTCGAGGAGCTAGAGGCTTTGTACGGTAGTAACAGTGGGCTTACAATGGGTGCAACAACGACGGAGTTCCACAAGGAAGGGAACAATGGAAACCACAACCGTGACAGCGGCGTTGGAACACAGCAGCTGGCGAGTGCGTTGGCACAAGGTGTTTTAAGTAGCAGAGATCCAGAAGGTGATTGCTCGGAACAACGAGAAAATCACAACAACATTATCGATCATGCCACCACCACCACCAACAACAACAGCAACTTTGACGTGAATTCCTCGTCAGAGTCATCTGCAGAGTATGACGAGCCCGGTGGTGGAACCAGCGAGTACGGCGACCACGGAAAGAACGTGAAGAAGAGGAAGCGAAAGTCGTGGAAGGAAAGGATGGCCTTTTTCGAGAATCTAGTTAAGAAGTTTATGGAGAAGCAGGAGCAGATGCAGCAGAATTTTCTGGAGCTGCTCGAGAAGAGAGAGCAGGAGAGAATGAAGCGGGACGAGACGTGGAGGAAGCAGGAGGTGGCGAGGCTCAACCGGGAATATGAGCTCCGGGTGGAAGAACACACGAGGAGAATCAATTACGACACGGCGCTTGCTAGTGCGCTTCAGAAGGCGACGGGTCAGGTTCTTGAAATGCCACACCAGGGACCGGTTCCTTCACCGTACTCCAACACCCTGGCCGAGAGCAACGACGATCACCACAAGGAGGTGTGTGACTCCATGAACAAAAGGTGGCCGAGAGCCGAAGTCCAAGCTTTGATCCAGCTGCGGGCCGCAATGGAGACCAAGTTCCAGGAGGTCGGTCCCAAGGGCCCGTTTTGGGAGGAGATATCAGCGGGGCTGGCGTGCCAGGGATACTCTCGAAGCGCAAAGAGGTGCAAGGAGAAGTGGGAGAACATCAACAAGTACTACCGCAAAACGAGCACCAAGAAGCGGCCCGAGAACACGAAGACGTGCCCATACTTTCAAGAGCTGGACGTGCTGTACCAGAAGGGAATTATTGGCACGCCGAGCGCGTCCACGAAGTCCGGGCAGCAAAACAATAACAGCGGCGGCAACACCGCCACCACCATCAGCAACGTCAACAACACTACCAACAACAGCAAGCAGCTGGACGAAACCACTGACGAGCTTGACGAGAGCAACAGGGACGACAGTGGTGGTGTCCAGGGCGAGGCCGAGGTGCTAAGCATAATGCCCAGCGCGGAAGCGACTCCAACCAACGCAGGAGCCTCGGCCGTCGGCGGTGGCTTGTTCTCGAGTCCCGAGAACTGCGCTCACAACACCGAGAGTAGCAAGCTCCAGAGCAACAGCCGGAGCCACCAGAAGCGAGGGTGGATCGACAGCGCCGAGCGTCACACTGGCTCGCTCGGCTTGAGCTTCGATGCGGTACAGGGAGCGGAGCTACTTTGCGGAGGGAGCAGCACCAAGGCTCTCAAGTTCGACGGTTTCAAGAACTTGATGGATCAGAGGCAGCAGCATTTGCTCCACCATCGCCAGCAGCAGCAGCAGCAGCGAATCCAGCAGCAAGGGCCGCCATCGCTGATGATGCAAGAGAGGCAGAGCCAGGAGTTCCAGGAAGCCGAGAGTTCGGCTACCACGAGAGGGCTGGTGGAAGGTTTTGCGCTCGTGGACGGGCTGGGAAGAAGGTGACGAAAACAAAAACCGAGGTACTTTTGTTCTTCCAGAGGTTCTTTCCTAGCTTGTTTTTTTTTTTTTTTTTTTTCTCTCTCTTGAGCCTTCGATTCTACCAGGTTGAGAGATGAGTAGCTAAGAAGCATTCGCGGCTCCTGAAAGAAGAGAAGAGAGGATAGAAACTTTAGCTCTTTAGAGAGGTGTAAGTTATGGTAGAGAAGGGAAGAGAGAAGCTCTGGGAATTTGCGCGCGAGTAGCTATAGAGTGTGATTCTTTTCGCAAACTACAAAAGTGTGTAGAGAGAGAGATTTCCAGGAACTCGAAGAAACTTTCCTCTCGCGTCGTTTCTCGAAAGGCTTCGAGAGGTGTGCGTTCTTTTAATTCGATTGTCGGGTCCTTTCACAGCTATACATGAAACAGCAAGCTTTGTTCTTTCTTGTACTGTAAGAGATGAGATGGTGACCAGAGAGAGAAGCGCACACCACACCACACCGATCTTAAAGATCGATCTAACTCACTTCGAAAACTCTGGCTGTTGTATCATCCGAGCCTGACACAATCGCCATGCCATCACTGCGTAGAAAAAAAAAGCATTTTTTTCCAGAGAAAAGAATGGAGAGTTTGGAAGTACCATGTCAATGCCATGTCCAAAATGCCGTCACTGTGACCGTGGAAGCTCTTTTGACGTGTTCCACTTCGGGGGTCCCAAGCATGGACACTGCCGTCAAGACAAGCCGTGTAGATCATCTCGGACGAGGGCGACCAGATTATTCGATAAACATCGTCCTGTGCTCATCACGGAAGCAATTCAAAGAGAGGATTTGCAAGAAAAAAGAGAGGTTTTCTTTCTACCTGGTGGTCGCAAGTTAAGCGCACTGAGAGTGTTTGGAGGTCCCAAACAATGAGCTTCTTATCTCTTCCGCCAGTGGCCGCCAGGGACAAGCTTTGAGAAGGCCATGCCAAACTTTAGAATAAAGAAGCAAAAAAGAAAGAAAGAAAGAAACAATGCTGGCGAGCACCTGGGGGATAATGCAATGGCTTCAATGGCCTGTGTGTGGCCAGATAAAGTGCCGAGAACCTGAAAAGAAGGAATGGCGGAAGAACTAAAGCTCTGAAAGCTACAAGAGGAATAAAAGAGAGAGCTTACTCTTCCGCTTTGGATGTTTACGAGACAAACGCTTCCATCCGCGGAGCCCGTAAGAGCAATGCTAGAATCACGGCCTACTGCGACGCACGTAACTCCTCCTCTGTGGTATGGATGCCCTGTAAGTTCAAAAACCTTTGTAAACGAGCCATCTATAAGTCACTCCCTTTGTCACCTTGGATGTTCCGGATACATTCGCCGGACCTTGGATTCCACACTCGCAAGCTACAGTCACTGGAGCCTGTGCAAACAAGCTTTCCTGGAAACGAAAGGAAACAATGAAAGGCATCGAAAGAATCGTGTCGTGTGAGAGTGCTTTAGCTTTATACCATCTGGAGTGAAGCAGCCGCAAATCACTGATCCACTGTGACCCGTAAACACGCTCAAGCAAGCTCCACTGTCGGCATTCCACATCCACACTGAAAAGTCCTGCGATCCAGCCAGAAGTATGTGTCCCCTGGGATGCCAACAAAGCCACTGCCAAAAACCAAAGAGAAAGAACAGCTTAGCGTCTTCGAAAACTAGAAGAAAAGGTAAAGCTTTAGTACCACAATGTCTTCTCCTGGACCCTCCAGCCTGTGTTTCAAGGATCCAACTCCATCCCAAACACAGACAACGCCATCCAGTCCTCCGGAAGCGAGAAGCTTTCCATCAAAACTAAAAGCTAGCGAGGAAATGGAGTCTTTGTGCTCTGTCACAAAGAAAGAGGCAAATGATCAATAGCAACAATGATTTTTGCAAACCTTTGAGCTCTAATGGAGCGGCATCATCGCCAATTTTCCAGATGAAAATCTTGTCGTCGCCACCACCCGTGGCCACCACTCTGGACTCCACTGGGCTGCACGCAACAGCGTAGACAGACTCTACGCAAAAACATTCCTTTTACGCTCTGGATCAAGGAGAAAGAAGAACAAAAATGAAGCTTCGAATTTACCAGCATGGCCCGTGAAGATATGGATCGAATCATCAACCTCATTACCATCTTCTTCTTCTTCTTTTTCTTCTTCCTCTTCCCCATCCCCGTCCTCCTCGGCATCAGGCAAATCTATCACAAAGAGGCATTCATTCGCCTGTCCTCTTCACGAGAAATTTCTACCTTGCTCATCGATCACAACTTCGCCATCAACATCAGCTTGGTCGATGAACACCGGAGAATCGTCGTCGCCATCGCCACCGCTTGCCTGCTGTGCCACAGTCTTTATCAACAAAACCCACGCACATCTTACCTGCTGGATCGCCATAGCTTTCCTAGGGTTTAAAACTTACATTAGGGTTTCCTCGTAAACCCTAAAATCACAAAAAAAGAGATTTCCTTACACTTTGATGCATCTTTGGGACGGGGATCACAGACGTCCAGCAAAGACATCACTTTCTCGTTTTTGGTAGAAGCAAATGCCCGCACCTCTTGCTTGTTAAAATGGTCTGTGAAGTGAACAAAGTCGAAGTAAACGTGCTCCTGAGGGTTTGCGCAAGGAATCTGTCCCCCACACGGAACACTCGCGTTGTATGCATCCTTGCCACCCCCGCAACAAGCTACATGTGTGATATCCCTATCAAATCCTGCGACAGAAATCTCCATGCATTTGTAGGGAGAAAAACTCGGAGACAACTTGAGAACAACTTTGAACTTTGAACTACCATATTTTATCGGGTCTCTGAGCACGTCATAGGAATTTGTAGCGATTCAAGACGAAGATCCTCACGCTTGAATGTGGCTTGTTATACAGCGCCAGCAAAGCAGCTTCCAGCATCGAGTTGTGCCTCTTGACAACTTCTCCAATCGCCTTAACGCACCCAAACTCGTCCAGATCCTCGGCCGGATGTCTCAAGCGATAGTCTGGTGTGGCTGTGGCACGTTGAGAACAATCACCGTTCTAATCCCTTCGGAAACCAAGAGCTGCAAAACATGATAAATATTGTTAACTTCAAAAGATTTTCCGATCTCAAGCGCTCGCCACCTTTACTGTGTCGACCACCTTGCGCACCACATCCGGGACCGTCTCCATGATGCTTGATACGCTTCGATTCCTGTCGTCTTGAATATTGTAGTCATTTCCACCTCCACCAACAAGAGCAGCAACACGACCAGACTTTCTAGGATCACATCTCTCCCTTTTTGAGCGAAACCACCGGATCTCGTTGTCGAAGGATACTTTCACTAGGACTGGCACGTCCCTTTCCTGGAAATACTCGATTCCCAGAGCAGTGGCACCAGCGTAGGCGAAGTTTGTTGTGCAATCACAAGACAATGGGAGCATTGAGCGTTAAAGATCAAACAGACTAGCTATAGGAATCAGAAAACCATGACAAGAGTTATTCATCACCTTAAAATATGGTGGAAGCTTTACCAAAGTAATCTGTGATGACTCCTCCCTTTGAGAATCGGCCCTTGGTGATAAGGGTGGAATTAAAAGAGAGGTGCTCTTTGCCAAGTTTCCCATGTCTTCAAGGGAGTCCCCGAAAACATAGATTTTCTCGAAGCACGGCTGCTTAGGGAGAGGCAGAGAGACGCTCATGAGGGGCGTGCAAACATCAGCTGAGCCATTAGTACATGACGTCGTTTGTGAAGTGGAGAGCTTTGCCGTGAGAAGATTTACTAAAACGAGAGCTCTAGGCATTTTTGCAAGAAATGCTTCACCAATGAATCTCTTTCCTATGTAAAGGAGTTTATTCCTGGATTAGGCAGATCAACATGCAGTAGTCTTCTATATATTGACAATGAACTGATTTGAGATAGAAAAGTATATATTTTTCATCAATTAGATTAATCTTGGCGTTTTCAATCGCTATGAATATTATGCTTTGCATGTATTCATTTCATGTGTACACACACATCCAGCAAAGATGTTTGCTTGTAATGATTTGAGATGATATATTCTTCGGTGAGTGAAAATGCCTGTATCTCCTGCTTGTTAAAACGGTCAGTGAAGTGGACAAAGTCGAAGTAGACATGCTCTTGAGGATTCTCGCAAGGAAGTTGTCCTCCGCATACAACACTCGCATTGAATTCATCTCCACCTCCACAGCAGGCTACATGTGTGATATCAGGAAGAAACCCTGTAAAAGATATGAAGAAACTCTGTCGTTTAACTCAAACTCCCATACCATATTTCATTGGGTCTCTGAGCACGTCATTGAGAAATTTGTATCGATTCAAGATGAAGATCCTCGCAGCTGAATATTGTGTCATGTAGAGATCCAGCAACGTAGCTTCCAGCAATGAGTTGTGCCTCTTGACAACTTCTCCGATCGCCTTGACGCATCCAAACTCGTCCAAGGCCTCGTCACGGTGCCGGAAGCGATAGGCTGGAGTGCATGCTGTCTGTGGCACGTTGAAAACCATCACCGTTTCCACACCTTTATACACCAAGTACTACAAAATCACATGTTCACCAAGGATCACCTCAAAATTTAAAGCTCGTCACCTTTACAGTGTCCACCACCTTACGCACCACGTCCGGGACAGTCCTCATAATCTCGGACAGTGATCTATTGGCACCATCTTGGATGTTGTAGTCATTTCCACCTCCGCCAACGAGAGCAGCGACGCGAGCGGACTTTCCGGATTCACATCTCTCTGTGTACGAGTTAAACCACCGGGTCTCGTTGTCGAAGGATACGTTAACTATGGTGCGTAGGTTCCTGCTTTGAAAGTACTGGATTTCCAACGCAGTGGCACCAGCATACGCGAAATTTGTTGTACAGCCACAATCCGAGGGAAGTACCGATAATTGAAGATCAAACAAACTAGCTAAACATTGACAAGTTAGAATTGAACACCAATAGGCCCAAAACGCTACCGAAGTAGTCTGTGATGATCCCCCCATTTGAGAATCGGCCCTTGGGGCACCCAGGATTTGTAATACCATATGGAAAGGGTGGGAGAAAAAGAGAGGTATCCCTTGCCAAATTTCCCATGTCTTCGAGTGAATTCCCAAAAACATAGAGTTTCTCAAAGCATGACTGCTTGGGAAGGGGTAGAGAGACACACAGAGGGGAGCAAACATCACCGTTACATTGTATTTCCTGTGCGGTGGGGAGCTTTACTGTGAAAATCCCCAGAAGAATCAATGCAAAAGCTTGAAAAACTCCAGGCATTCTAGCTGCTGATTTAAGAGTCTAGTCTGATCTGCGTTTATATGAAAAGGAGTCAAGTTTCAGAATTAAGTCAACATAGAGTTGCGTTTCACAAGTCACAGGCATAAATCTTGCCAGTTTAACTCTTGAAGGAATCTAACCAAATAGCGTGACTTGAGTTTTCGTGCCATAAAAGTTTGCGTGGCCATCAACGCAATATTCCAGGAACTTCACCGAGTTCAAGTGATTCGTCCTTGATAGCAAGTGGTTTGTGCTTGTTTCCCCTGTAAACGCGTCCATCATCGATTTCTTCCAGCTCCTTGAAAATTATCGCCTTGGCATGAAGTCCTGGAGAGACGCTTCCTCTTCTTATCACATGGCTCGCCACCTCAGAGGATTCCTGGAGATGCCAAAGTTGGCAGCAGCACAACAGAGTTACTCGAAGAACCTGTTTGCTTTCAATGCGTTTTTAGATCTTTCCACCTGATAAGGGCCTTGTACACACCCGTTTTCATAAACTACATGGGCTCTGCGAAAAGCATGACCCCGTCTTGAAGAATGCGGCCGTGCATCATTTGTGCTGCAAATCTCAAACGTGTGAAGCAAGCAGCTAAAGTTGCTCGAGAGCTTGTTGGCAGCATACTCAATCCTCCGTGTCGTTCCAAGCACGGGGCAATGGTCCCCGAGTTGAAGTAGAGAACGAGGTGACATTCTTGGCAATATAATCCTGGGTTGCTATTACCCAGCTTACGCGAGGCGCTGCTTAGATGCGTGAAAACAATTACGGATCCCAGTATCCCCGGGGATAACTAGGGAGAGTCTCGAGGGGTTAGAACAGCAGCCACTAACATTGCTGCACCTGGGCGGGAGTGTAAATGCTCCAGAAATGGCGGGAGCGCTAATCGTGATCAAAACATCATAAAGAGTGCCATTCAGAGCTTAAAGGCATACATGACTGACTTTTACTAATTTCAATGAGGCTTTCTATGGTTTTTGCTTGTGGCTTGGGCCTGTGAGTTAGAAGTTTCTGACAGCATTCTTGAAGAAAAGCTAGACAACGCTGGTGGATCTGTGTTGGAATCATGGAGATGCTGATGGGTAAAAATGTACAGTAAATTTTGCCATCCGATGCTATGCCACCTCGCAATTAGTTTGGACAGCCCAAAGTCTGCAATCTTTGGCACGAATCCGACGTCTACGAGAATGTTCTCCAGCTTGAGATCCAGGTGAATGATTTTATTGGCACACTCCTCGTGCAAGTAACACAATCCTTGAGCTGTGCCAACAGCAATCCGGAACTTGAAGACAAGCCACCCAATCCATCCTATTGTTGAGAAGAACTATCATTGCCAAAGATCCATTTCTCTAGAGAGCCATTTGGCACAAACTCATAAATGGGCAAGCGTTTCCTTGGGCAAAATCCTATGAACTTCACCAGGTTCAAGTGATTCAATGCAAAGTTGACAACTTTAGCAATGCTTGCTAATTAGAAAAATGATTAACAAAATGATTAAAATATTGCATTTAATTGAGGAAGTGTTTCACATTTTTAGAGTATCAAACTTTAACATATAAATTCTTGCAAGAAATTTAATATCTAATATAAATCTTGTTCTTGGATTTAAACACACATTTCCACTACTTTAATTTCAAATTAGCTTCCTGTAGCTAATTTACATTTTGTGGACATCATGAATATGCTTCTTTTACATCCCTTTGGAGTGAAATAAGACATTATCAATAAAGTAAATAGTCACCTTTAATATACTACAAAGAGCTTTATTTATCATTTGCAAGAAATTGTCAAATAAAATGGCATTATAAAAAATTTATACAAACTAAATAGTATATAAAAAACAATTTTAAAATCATTTTCCTTAGCCATCAGCACTTATCAAAATTTAGAAGTAAAATCTAATTTGGTGAACTCATAATTTTTCCCTAGATAATTTAAAAGATTGGTAGTGTGAGGAAGAAGGTACACATTTGGGATAATTATACTATTTAATAAATAATAATTAATATAGAAGAAAATACTTCTATCAAGTTTTGTCATAAAATGAAGTTTACATATTTAAAGATTTTGAGACTTTTGATAACACTTTTTTCCAATATCTCTTTTATATTTTTCTTATAAATCTTGATCTTATTTATGACCAATGTAAAATATGAACCTTAATTAAACAAACATCCTCAATTGAAATATAATCTTAGCCTTAGATAACATATCAAAGTTGAAGAGATAAACATAATCCTTGAGTCAGTCAATCACTAGACCATAAAGAATTTAGAGAGAGAATAGAAAAGTAAAAAAGAAATATTGTAAAAAAGTAATAAAAAGGCAAAAGTAATGGAAGAAAAAAGTAAAAATAAAATAACAAAATAGAAAAAAAGTAAGGAATATAAGATAAAGAAGAAAAGCCTCAAAGTAACATGTATAATTATGCTACAATCAATCTATATCAAAGATGAGGTTTAAAATTTGACTTGACACTATTTACAATGATTGAAACTCAAGTTGAAAATC